CTGGGCTGGGATTTGAACCACTGCTGGCCATGAAGCTGGTTCTCTATGTATGGGGCTTAGTCCATTGCACTATGGTGTCAGCCCACATTAAAATTAAAAAAAAAAATTATGTCTAAGTCAACTTAGTGGTGACTGATGTGTGGACCTAAGTGCACATGTGCATGTGCACACATGTGCATTTGTGTGTGCTTATGTGTGTTTTGTAGGTGAGTGTAAGAGTGCATGCATGCTTGTTTTGTACCATGGTCCCCAAACTTGAGAGTGTTCTGCTTGGCACCCAGCAGCACCTTGGTGTGAGAAGCACCTTCTGTGTCCTGAAGGCCCAAGACCTGTCACAGGCCTATTGTGCAGTCATCAGGCCCTGGGAGGTCTCCCTCTACCCTCACCACCTCCCAAGTAAACATTACTGTTCAGGCTAGAAAAACCATCAAGCAAGCTGGAGAGGGCAAAAGATTCTGGAGCTCGAAGAACTGGTAGGTGCAGGGGGTGTTGGAGGCCCCTCACCAGCCTCCTTCTGTCCCTAGGGTCCCCTCCCTCCACTGCCCACCTCTCTGCCTAGCCCTGGCTCCTCCTCCAGGCTCTCTTCCTGCAGGGTTTCCAGCCAGCAGTGGGGAGATAACACTGTGCCCCTTGCCTGTTGTTCCAGGTCCCTCCCAAGCCAGCACCTGGGGGTGAGCTCTGACCTCTTCAGAAGTGCCTCTGGGCCCCAGGGACCTTGACCCATGGGCTCATTCAGTGGGCCACAGGTATGGTTGGAGTGGATGCCTGTGAGCGCCATCTCACAGAGAAGTCCTCATGGCTCCTGCTCTCTGCTGGGGCCCCAGGCTGTTTGTTAGATCTCCACTTGCTAGAATGATGCCCCGAGCATCTCCAGTGAGACCTGGCAATAGCCTGATCCCTTTCCACTGAATCTGAGGTCAATACTTCTCAAGTTGTGCAGCTGATCCTCAGCACATGAACAGCTCATCAGGTGTTTGAACAGGTGATCCTGGGGGAGTCTGTCGAGGACAAGTATACTGTGGGTTCTCTGGTGACATTATTCTTTCAAGAAGCTACTGGCCAGGACACTTGTGATGACTTATGGATTTGTATGTGATGCTGCTGTCTGCAAATGTGCATACGGTAAACATGCGACGCTCACTTAGCAACTGCTGACCAAGCTCCTGCAGCAATGCACTAGACCTGTGTGAATGACAACAGCAGCGATGACACTGTGCAAGGCACTTTAGCTGCACACCACAGGAATGGTGGCTTAAACACCAGTGGCTTTTAGTTGTCCTGTCTCGTGTGGTGGGCAGCTGCTGACATGGTCTCACTGCTTCTGGGTACCCTGAGCCCCAGTGCTGGTCTTTTTTCTCTAGGCTTGTGGCTTTGTGCTGTTGAGGGGCTGTGGCCCCTTCAGAATAGGTTCCTCACCCAGGAAGGGAAGACAAGCCCATGGCAGGATTGGAAGTGTTTGTCTCAGTTGTAGGAAAGCTAAAGACTCCCTGGAAGTGCCCACAGACTCTTCCCTCAGAGGTCCACCTGGCTGGAATGGGTCTACATGCCTACCCATGGATCAAGTGCTCCAAGGGGACAGGATATCCCTCTGTGCCTTAGTTCCAGGGTCAGGGGATCCCCTCTTCACCCTAGATCTGAGGCGGGAGCTCCCCTGTGGAGCCTAAGCATATGCACTGTCCAACAGCAGCATTCTCTTACCCAGGTGGGAAGGTGTTGGCCACAGCTGTGGTGGTGCATGTGCTATAGAAGCAGAGTTCTATTATCAAGATTGGAGGGTAGCTTTAGGTGTGTCCTCTTATTGTACCTCTTTACCTACTGGTTGAGAAAATATGTCACACTACTAGATTCCCATGAGTGCCCAATGGTTTTAAGCTAATTTTATATTTTCTTGAAGAGTAGATTCAATAGGAAATCAGATGCATGTGTCCGAGTTGCATGTCACATAGGCCATGGTCAGTGCTCCAAGTTTGCAACAGCAACAGCAGGCTCATACCTGCTCCAGGTGTGGAAAGCCTCTTGAAGGCTTCTTTGAGGCAGTGCAGGATCCACTCTAGTCTCTTTCATTTTCTGCCTGTGTGTTGATGTGCCAGCACCGTGCTATCTGGAGTTACTGAGGCTCTATGGTATCATAGTATTATATAGTACTGTTCCCTTGTTTTTGTTCATGTTTTTCTGTTTATTTTTCATAGTAACTGAAGAATCAGTTACTAGTTAGGAGGGGGGGACTTTAATATTTTAATTGGGATTCAATTTTTATTTTATAAATGATTAATGTATCATATACATTATGTAACCACCTCAAATCAGCGCAATTTAAATCAATGACCATTTGGGCGCTAATAGTTCTATGGGTTAGCAATTTAGGTTGGGCTCAGTGAGGTGGCTCTTTGGCTCTCTCTCCTGGGCTCATTCGTGGAGCCACAGGTAGCTGGCAACCTGTCTTGGCTGAGGTCTGGAGAACCTGGCTGGTGCAGTTATTTCTGCTTCATATAGGATCACCTCTGGTAGATTCACTTGAGCTCCCTTCCTTTGATAGCCAAAGTGGATGAGGGAGGCTGCAAGGCCTCTACAGGCTGGTTTGGAAGTAATATGATGCCTCTCCTACTACATCCTGCTCATGGGGGAGCTCTGAGCCTGCTCAGGTCCACTGGGTGGGTGTAGATCCCACATCTTGGTGAGTGGAGCAGCAGCATTGTCCTGGTGGATGGAAGGTGTTAGGCAGCTGGCCACTTAGTCTTTCGTTTTGTTCAGTTCTGGTCTCATTCTTCAGTTCTCTTCCTAGGATGACTTGCTTGCTGGTTTGCATGCTTGTTTTCTTCCTTGCCTTGCCTTACCTTGCCTTCTTCCCTTCCAACCTCCAGAGGGGCTTGTGGGTTTGTCAGAGGTTGTAGGGAGAGAGAGAAAGGGATAAAGCACCTCCAATGGAGCGTGGTTTCCCGATAATTTCATCTCTCATCACCCTATTGGGATTTGGGGCACACATACTCACCCTACATAATTTTTAAGCTGCCAGGGCCAGGATTCAAAACGTGGGCAGCCATGTAGTTTCTGACTCCCTCAATTACTAGGCTACAAGGCTAAACTGGTTTTATTTTTCCTAAAGTTTGTGATAGTTTGTCTTTTATATGTGTACCTGCAAAAAGTTCTCTTCTTCACTGTACCTGTACCTTCTGTGTGTTTTTTTTTTTTTTTGGATAGGTTTTGCTATAGGACGCGTACACTCACTGAAAAGACAGAAAGGCAGAAAGTGAGAAATTACCCCCCAGGAGGGATGGCCATGTCACAATCCCTTCTCCTCCATTCTCTTTTCAGGATCTTGAGCACACACCTACACACACACACACACACACACACACACACACACACACACGTGCCTGGCCTGAGTTTAAGCCGCTGGGTCCAGGATCGAGCCACAGTCGACTACATGGGAGTCCAGCAATATGGCCATTACACCAACTGCTGGTCCTGTATCTTCTGTTTTTGTGTGTTTGTGTGACAGTGTGGTCCATCAGAGCTTTCTTCCCTGGCTGCCTAGACATGTGAAGGGACTATGTGGTCTTGTATTCCTGGTCACTAAGTACTAGTAATGTGTGACTTTTTGCAAAGGAAATGGCTAGCCCTCGATTTCTAATTTTTCCCCTTCTGCCTGCCTCTGAAAGTCAACAACCAAAGCATCTTGGGAAGCCATATGCTGAAGATGGCAGAGCCTCCAAAGCCCCTGGCCCTATGTGATCAGGGGGGGGCTCTGTGTGATCAGGTGGACCCAACCAGATCAGTAGGCCTGACATGACCAGATAGGGCTCTACATGACCAAGTTAGGCCCTAAATGACCAGGTGAACCTCATCTGACCAGGTAGACCCTAGGTGACCAGGTGGGGCCTTACATGATTAGATGAGCCCTAGTGACCAGGTTGGTTGCTTGTGACCAGGTAAGCACTACGTGACCAGGTGGGCCCACATGGAACTGAGCCACCATGGCCTACAACTGTGAAGTGAGGCTATAAAGCACTTTGCTATTGTCTTAGGCCATCCTGGTAGTTCAGAAGACTTTCAATTTCTGTATACTCTACAATGAGACTTAAAAATATTTATGGAAAAATGGAATTTAAGTATGCATCTATTTTGGTTGAAATTATACCTCATTTTTCATAATATCCATCATTCATGAACTTGGCAAGACTGCTCATACCTACCCCTTTCAACATCACTGTAGTCTTTTTCTGTTTGTAGTAGCATCTCGGCTATAGTGGACTATCTCGAGTCTAGAGGGCATACACCTGTCATCCTTAAATAGTCATGATTTTACCTCCTCCTTTTCATGTTCAGACCTTGTGCTAATTCCATATGCTGACGAGATTAGACTGGCAAATAAGTGTTTCTTATGTTTCAGACTTCTTGAAAGATAAGAGGTCAATGAATGATTTTACCCAAGAACTGAATTTTGCCCTTTAAGCCTCAAAAATAGGGTTGCATTCATTTTATCTAAAATTTCAGTTGAACTCTTAGAAATCCCTTCCCTGTGGGGACAGCAGGTGGTGTAGAGGTTAAGGTAGCTGAATACCACATGGCCAACTTGGCACTTCGAGTCCTGGAGGCATAAGCTAAAACACATGCTGGCTGAGTGTGTGTGCATGCCCATAATCCTGAGAGGAGAATGGAGAAGTGATTGTGGCATGACCATCCCCCTGGTGGGTGATTTCTCACTTTCCCTATTTTTCTCTCTCTGTGTCTCTATGTAGTGAGTGTATGCACCCTAGCAAACAAACACACAAACAAAAATCTCTTCCCTGCCTCTCAGACTTATTCATTAGCTCAGGGAATATGATGCAGCCCTATTGTCAGCATTTCCATGAGGTCAGGGTGAACAGCAATCACTACATTGTGTTCTCATTAGTGATGTCACTGAGAAGCCACTGGAGGTGTGAATCTGCCCTCAACCCTAGACAGTCTTATGGTGCTGTTTCAGTTTCAGACTCTTGTCTGTCCCCCATCTGGCTCTCAGCAGTATGCCTGCCTCCCGATTTCTGCTTCCCCCCTGGTCTTATCCAGTGAGGTATTGGCCAGGACACCACCAAGCCAGCTTTGCCCAAGCTGTGTCTACAGTAAGAGGAAAGAGGACCAGCGAGGGAGCAGAGTCAGCTGTGAGTGTGATAAATTTACTTTAGAGATGCCTAGCCTGACTATTCAGAAAGCATTTGGGGTATATTTCCAGGTTCTTGGTCATTTTCCAAAGAGTAAACGCAGCCACCGAAATTGAGATACTTTGAGATATTGTTATCTCTATATTATCCCTTGTTTCTAAAAGCCAGTCCTGCTCATGGACTTTCTCCTCTAGCATTTCCTGATTTAGTAACACCAGAGTTATCCATGTGCAGACCAGGAGCTCACTCTCAGTCACTCTCTGTCCTGTCAACCAGCATGGCCTTTCTGTTCTACCACCTCCTAGCAGCCCTGGTCTGCTCAGCAAACTGCACATGTAGGCTCCTAAATATGGAATGGATGAGAAGTAGGTGGGTAAATGGGCAAATGATGGATGGATAAATGTTGGGTGAGTGGATAAATGGGTGGATGAGTATGTAGGTGGACAGACGGTGAGTGAATGGTGGATAGATGGATGGGTAGATGATAGGTGAGTGGATGGATGGACAGCTGGATGATGGGTTGGTGGGTGGATGGGCAGATGATGGGTGAATGTTAAGTGAGCAAATAGATGGGTAGGTGGATGGGTCATGGGTGGATGGGTAGGTGGATGGGTCATGGGTAGATGGATAGATGAATGGGTGGTAGATAATTTGATAGATGGATAGATAGGTAGATAGATGGTAAGTGGATATATGGATGGATAGATGGGTGGGTGGATGATGGGTGAATGGATGGTAGATGAGTGGATGGGTGAGTGAGAGGATGGATGGATGGCAGATGGATGGTAGGTATATGTATGATGGGTGGATGGATGGTAGGTGAGTGGGTAGATAAATGAATGGTGAGTGGATGGATGGATGGTGGGTACATGGATGGAGGGTGGGTGGATGGACAGATGAATGGATGGATGGTGGGTAGATGGATGGATGGATGGGCATGGTGGAGCCTGCCCAATGGATAGATGGATGATGGGCGGGTAGATTGATGGAGGGTGGATATGTGAATGAATGATGGATGGATGGATGGATGAATGGATGGGTATAAAGTATATGGATAAAGACAGGAAGAGATAAGGAAGGAAAGTAGCAGCCATTTCTCAGTTCTCCTTCATTATGCACTTGAGTTCAGATCATTGAAGTTCACATATGGGCCAGCCCTGTTGGCCTGATGGTTAAGTGAGCCAGACCACATATAGATGACCTGAGTTTGAATCCTGGCCCCAGCAGCTAGAAAAAAAAATGTGTGTATATATGTGTGTGTGCACATGTATGCTCCAAATCCTGACAGGATGGAGAAATTGAGGAGAAGGGGTTACAATATGATCCTACCCCATTGGGAGTGGTTTCTCCCTCTCATTCTCTCTATCTCTCTGGCAAGCATGTGGGCCCCTGGCAATCAAAGAAAAAGAAATTCATACATTACTAAAATGTTATTTTATCATATACATCAAACCTTCCTCCCAGAACATCAGAAATGCTGCACTTCTGACATGAGTGACTGTCTTCTCCCTCTACCACGGCTGCCTGCTAAAGGTTGGCTTTCCTCTCAGAAAGGCCACGCAAGCAGGGCAGAGTGAGGCTGCTGGCAGCTGGCAGGTACACTGGTCCCAGAATGGTTGTGGATGGCTACTCCTTGTCCCTAGGTTCAGGAGCTGCCACCTCCCGCAGCGCTACTTGGTCCTACTTCTGCACAGGTGGTCTTCAGTGATGTAGCCTGACCTGTGCAGCAACAAGGAAAATGCAGTGTCATCCCCCAGCCATGAGGGTTTGACACCGTTGGCAGAGGCAGGAAGGCTCGTAGGGGGAAGACCTGATGCTGACCTTCATCTGGACAAAATAGCATCCTCTTCTTGCAAAGAAGGCCACTAATGCTCTGTTTAGAGCATCCTACGGAGATGGCAAACTTGAGCCTCCAGTTTCCTTTTCTTTGGGAAGATGCTGTCAGAAAGGCTGGGGCTTCAACAAAGAAGGTAGAATGCCGGAGGTGATTTGTAGGTCAGACCCTCTGACTGCCGCCCTCGTATGTTAGCTGTCCAGATAGAGTTGCTCAGGCTGCGGCTTAGCTCCGACGCCTCTTGACCCCTCTGGTCCTCAGTTGTGCCATCTAAGACATAGGGAAATTTAGACCCGAGAACCTATGGTATTGGAATTATTTTGGAATCACAGCAGTCAGAATATAGAATTAAGGTTGTAGATCTACAGGAAATCTCATGTGCTATTGGTATGAATGGACATTGAGAACCTCCTAGAAAACAGATAATGTCATCTGGAAATGTCCAGGTGGGCGCACTTTATCACCTGTCAAACAATCCCCAGGACGTCCCCAGGATATTGGGCACTAGGAGGCAGCATTTCTATCTACTCTTGCAAAGACAGCAAACAACCCTTAGGTCCTTAGAAAATACTGGAGCAAGCTGGGATGTTCCCACTATGGATTTCTACCCAGCAGTAAAGATGAGTCACAGCCACATGCACCATCGTACAGGGATTTTAGGGACAAGGTTGAACCCAAACAGCAACTCGTAGAAGATTAAACCTAAAAAAGAAACACAGCACAACCATGTCTTGCTCAAAAGTATAATAAACATCTTTTAAGTAAAGGAAGAGTAGTGATTACCTCTTGAGAGTAATGAGGAGTGTAGATTTAAGGAAGAACCTTGGCTTTTCCGTGGGCTTATGCTTCATACTTTATGTGAGATACATTCTTTTTTAGTTTAGTTAGTTTGCTTTGTTTTTAATTGCCAGAGTGCACGTACTCCATGGAGAGATGAAGATTCAGAGATAGCACCCTCCAGAAGGCTGTGGTCAGGCCACATTCCCTTATCCTCTATTTTTTCTTCCTGTTGGGACTTTAGGCATGCATGCACAAGTACCTGGCATATTTTTCAAACCACTGGGCCTGGGATTTAAACAGTGGTTGGCCATGGGCGACCTGGCTACCTTTACCTCTAGGCCACAGGGCTTGCCCTGTGTTAGATCTACTTGTTAATAACAGGTGCTTTTTAAGTACTCACACAGGCTGCTGCATCTCAGACACACTGTGCCTGTCTCATTACCTTAACTGCACCTTGCAGGCATACATGACTTTTTCTTTTCTTTTTCTTTTTCTTTCTTTCTTTTTTTTTGACACAGCTTCTTATAGCTTTTATTAAAGTGGAATTGTCATGAGTCAGGACAGGCCTGGCTGACTTAATGGGTCGTGAAATAAGAGCTTAGTCCAATAGAGGCTGGGAATCCCAGTTGGTGCTAGCTGTCTGTGCTGATTATCACTGTGGGTGAGAGATGGCTGGTGGATGGTAATTCAGTGTCAAACTCTCTCCACCAGATTGCATGTTGAGGCCAGACAGAAACTGCACTGTTTCACTGGAGACGTCTGGTGGACCACCAGGGGACATAATTTCCCATTACCTTCAAAGTGGCATTAAGTGTTCCTTATCGGAACAGACGGGACATACCACAGACAGCTGTCTTCGATGCTTGAAACTGTCAGGTCAAAATTAGTAAAGGAGTGTCTTGGGTTAAAGAATAATAAAGAGATGTGTCACTCAGGTGCCATGTGGATTCTCAGCTGGGTCCTAGGTAGCCACAGCTAACAGGGTCATTTTGGGGGCCAGCAGGTGGCATAGTGGTTAAGGCACTGGATTCCCACGTGACTGACTGCAGTTGAAGTCCTGGACCTGGCAGCTCAAAACTCAGGCTGAATGAGCGTGTCTGTGCCTGAAATCCCAAAAAGATAATGGAGAAGAAAGGACTGCGATGTGGCCATTACCCAAGGGGGTGATTTCACACTTTCTCTCTCTGTCTCTTCAGCAAGTGCACTCACCCTATAGCAAAAATCCCTTTCTTGAAAGAAAGGAAGAAAGAAAGAAAGAAAGAAAGAAAGGTTATTTGGGAGGCAGTTGGTGAAGCTTGAATATGAATAGAATATTTGGTAATATTCTTACATCTTGGGTGTGGTCATGATGTTGTGTTAGCAGGTTGTCCCTAATTCTGAGGGGACATAAATTGAAATATTCAGAGGTGTGATGTCATATATAGTCCAGAAGACCTTTTTTTTTTTTTAACTTAAAGCCTATGCATAGAAGTGTAGAAGTTGATTTGAAATGTTCAGGCATATTTTTATTGCAGAATATTGGGTTAGAGTGGTTAGTAAAAGACCTTCAAGCAAAATATCAAGGAAGAGAGACTTTCAGTACATTATGTAGCAAAGTCTCACTGAGGCAGTACAGTGGGAATGCACACCCAAGAAGCCAATGAGACAGAGCGACTGTCTTGCCTCTTGGAAGAGCTTGTCTCCATGGGGTTTGAAAACAAGTGCTACTGGTGGCTGTCAGATCATTGTGACATTTAGACTACATTGGTGACATTGAAAAAAACTGAAGTAAGGCTTTAAAAAGTCAAGTTTTACAATATGCCAGGATTTTTTTTTTTTTGGTAGTTTTTTTTTTTTTTTTTTGCCGTAGGGTTTGCGCACTTGCTAGAGAGAAACAGAATCAGAGAGATGAAAAGTAAAAAATCCCTTCTCCTCCATTCTCCTCTTGGGATTTTGGCCACACACACACACACACACACACACACACACACACACACACACGGCATGAATTTCAAGCCATCGAGTCTGAGACTCACATCGCAGTCAGCCATGTGGGAGTCTAGCACCTTAATTACCATACCACCTACTGGCCCCTATGCCAGGATTTATACCCCTTGAATATTTAAACTTGAGTTTCAAAATCTAGATGTCAGTGTAAAATTGTCTGGGCATATGTGATTATTTTTTAAACTGCAGATACTTTTGGGGGCCGCTGAGTCCAGGCCCCTTCCTGACCCATTACTGCACTAACAACCCAAAGGACTTGGAGGTGGAGCCTGGGGTGGGGGTGGACTGAATGGAGAGTGGGTATTTTCCATCTGGTTGCCCATCTGTGGTGGGTGGGTTGGGGAATGGGGTAAGCCCAATGGTGCTGAGTGTCCATGCAGTTAGCATGCAACATGTTTATCAAGGAGGTGCAGGAGGTGGAACAGATTTGAATGCAGCGGCCAAAATTGAAGAGCATACAGGAAACATGCTTAAGTGTGGGCTCTGGCTCACAGTAAACGATGAAGGCATGCACTTTGACCCCATCTCTGGGGCAGCCACGAGGCAAAGCCTGATAAGCCAAGCATATGGTAAGCAGAGGGAAGCATATCAGGAGGTGGTCAGGAAGCTGGGCAGACCAATGGGAAACACTGTTCAAGTGGGTGTGACCTCAGGCCCTGGAACAGGGTAGTGGCCTTGCTGAACTGGCCAGCACTGAGGTCTAGGGCTGAAAACAGCTCCCCAAGTCTGGCATCTGGGTAGTTCCATCTGCCCTGTCTAGGCTCACAGCCTCAGAGACGACCTCAGAATCAAGCTGGATCTGAAATACCAGAGTCCAGATTAGTGGTGTGTGACACTGGAGCTGTGAGAAATGCATGCAAGAGGGTGGCACAGACTTTCTTGGGATCCTGTGCACAGATGTTCAGGTCAAGAGATCAGGTGATCAGAGAGTGGATATAGCACAGCACTGGGTGAAAGCTGTGTCCACAAAAAGGCTCAGATGCAAAATGGCTCAGCCCAGTGGCTTTATTCACAATCCCCAAAGGCTGGCCACACCTAGATTCCCATGAGCAGGTGCATGAACAACCTCGCAGTGGTGCACCTCTCAGTAGAATATGACACGGCAGCCAGAGGGTGAGCTTGATTATGTTACAACAAGGCTGGACCTCAGGAGCAGCCTTGGTGCTGTTCTGTGAGCCTTCTGAGAAAGAAAAGGAACCGCTAGTGTTAGAAAGCCAATGGGGGAGCCAGCAGGTGGTATGGTGGTTGAAGGTGCTAGATTCCCACGTGGCTGACCGTGGTTTGAGTCCTGGGCCTGGCAGCTTGCTTTCTCCCTTCCCTGCTCTCTCTCTGTCTCTCTCTGGTCAAATTACAAAATAATAATAAAAAATGGAAATAAATAAATAAATAATTTTAAAAAGCAAGCAAGCCAGTGGGGCCAGCTGGTGGCATGGTGGTTAAGGTGCATGGATCCCACCTGGCCAACTGTATGGTTCAAGTCCTAGACCTAGAGACCTGAAAAATACACTGGGAACATAAACGTACATGCCAAAATCCCAGAAGGAGGATGGAGGAGAAGGGATTACAGCATGGCCATCCCCCAAGGAGGTGCGTTCTCCATCTCTATTTGCCCTATGGCAAGTTATTGGAGGGAAGAAGGAGAGAGTAAATCAGTTAACTAGCTAGCTAACTGTCAGGTATTGCTTAGGGCCAGGAAGGGACGGAAATATTCCCACTGTAGTTGTGGCGGTGGCTTTACAGGTGTCTCAGCTCACCAACACCCTCACACTCAGTGCATCTTAATCTTGTTGAAGTTGACTTAAAAGCCAGATGCTCCAGGGCCAGGAGATAGCAAATGGTTAAATCACTGTACTCTCACATGGCTGACTGCAGTTCAAGTCTTGGACTTGGTGGCCTAAAATTCATACCAAGTATGTGTGTGTGTATGTGTGCCCAAAATCCTGAAGGAGAATGGAGAAGAAGAGAATGTGGCATGGCCATCTCCCCTGGGCGGTGGGGGGGATGATATCTCACTTTCTATCTCTCCAGAGACCAAACATGCCCTATAGCAAAAATCTGTCTTAAAAATAAAAAATCAGATGCATGTACTTTGAGCCTAGAACCTGGGAATCTGTCTTAAAGTATCAGAGCCAACATGTCAGTCTGCAGACTGCCCACCAGGGACCTGATTTTTCTAGCCCAGAGCATGGAGGCCACATGCCCCACCCATAGGATTGGGGGACCAGGTAGCGCCTGCCTCTGGGGCTGTGCAGTCAGAGTCCGCTGCAGGCCAGTGTGAGGTGTCTGCAGCATGGCTCCACCTTGGCACCGCTCAGTCTGGTCAAATACTCCATCTCTAGTCTGAGAAAGCAGTTCAAGCCTGAAGTGGCTGACCCATTTGAGACCCTGCTCTGAGGAGCTCCTGCCTACAGGAGCAGGGAAGCTGTAGGGTGTTTGGCTGCAGGGTGGACTACCCAGTCTCACTGCCTGGCCTATTGCTGACTTGCTTTAAGACTCTGGACAAGTCATTTAACCTCTCTGTGCTTTGGTTTGCTCACCTGTCACAGGGTAGTAACTGTCTATGGGGTTTGTGTGCTAGTTTAGGGAGGGAGGATATAGGAAGAGGGTGGGATGGACCTGAAACATATTAAGTACCCAGGAATCATTTTGTTGTCCTTGTTGAGTTTTTGGTCCTTTTTATTTGGAGTGTTAACTTCCTATTGCTGCTTAACAAATTGCTCCAAGGCTTAGTGGTAGTGGCATGAAGTAACAGCTGACATTTGTTGTTCCCACAGTTTCTTGAGTGGATCATTCAGAACTATTTGGTGGGGATTGAGAAGCACACTGAGGCTTCAGTGTGGCCGACGCTTGCATATGGGCAGCTGAGGGTTTGTCTGGGCAGGAGTATCTACTCCCAGGTGGATCCCTCTTTCAAGCAGGACCTGCTGCAGGAGCTTGCTGGAGCCTGGGCAGCTGGCTGCCTCCAGTGAGTGGCCCTGGGGACAAGAGCCAAGCCACAGCCTCCTTCCTGTGCTTGGCTCAGGAATCCTGTAGCCCCATTGCTGCTGGGTTAGGAGTGGTCACCGAATCCAGAAAGGGCAGAGAGTCTGGCCTCACCTTTGGACAGGAGGTATGAGTGTTGCAGAAATATCCCTGAACCAGCAGCAGAGCTGACGTGGCAGCAGTGGAACTGCCAGCCATGCTGTAGGCCAGGGGCCAGTACCTGCTTGCAAGAAAAGTAACTTCTGAAGCCCTACAGGTCAGAGAGAGTCAAGACCCAAGGGTCAAAGCAGGTGGCAAGTCCCTGCAGGCAGAGGCACCCTCCATGGCAGTAGCTACTTTCCGCCTGATGGGTAGGTATCCATGGAGAGTCTCTCTGCAGGCTCAGGAATGTCAGTGGTGCAGGTAGCCCTGGGATGTAGAGGGGTTCTAAGGGCTGTCTTGGGACCCATCTCCCCAACCCTATAGGGAGCACAGAGGCCCCTTGCAATGAGTCAGACCTGGAGGGGTGCACAGTGCAGCTGGTGCCTGGATGTCACATGACTGACTCTGCATTTGACAGAGTTGGCCTTGCGACTTCCTCTTGTTTGCTCTCAGAAATGGGGAAATCGTAGGGCAGCCCTCAGACAGATACAGCCCTGAAGTGCAAGCTGGCGCTACATGTATGCTATGGTTACGTGTGCCAGTGGGGAGCTAGAACAGAGGGAGCTGGCTCAGTGTGAGCACTAGTCGAGGCAGCATAGCTCTGCCTTTATGTAGGTTAGTATACAATTTTGATCTTTTAAATGAGATGCTAAATATAATGAAATTAAAATTGCCGATATCATTTTTATAGGCAAATGCCTTTACCTAGAAATAATTGCAGTTAATATTTGAGTGCATTTCTTCCAGCCCTTCCTTACTTCCTTATTTGTGTGAGAGAGAGTGTGTTTGTGCGTGTGCGTGTGTGTATAAGGCATATGTGTGCTGTGTGGGTGTGTAGGTGTACTGGGTATGGTGTGTGTATGTGCTGTGAGAGTGTGGTCCACAGTGTGTATGTGTGTTTTGTATGCAATGTGTGTATGTGTGGTGTATGTACATGATCATGTGGTGCATGTGTGCTCTGTGTGTGTAGTATGCAGTGTGTACATAGGTGCTATGGTGTGTATGAATACTGAGTGTGGTGCATGTGTGTCATGGTATGTGTATTCGTGGTGTGCAGTGTGTAAGTGTGTATACATGCGCTGTGTGTGGGCTATGCTGTGTGTGTGGTATATAATATGTGCATGTGTGTTGTGTGTATGTGTGGTGTGTACATGTGCACGTATGCTGGTGTGTGTGTGTGTGTGCTATAAAGTGTATATATGTATGCTGTGTGTGTGCAGCATGTACGTTTGTGTGCTGTGGTATGTGTACTATGATGTGTGGTGTATGGTGTGTACTTGCACTGTGTGTGTGCTGTGATGTGTGTGTGGTGTGCATTGTGTACATATGTGCTGGTGTGTGTGTGTGTGTGTGTGTGTGTGCGCTATGGTGTGTATATATGGTGTGTGGAGAGTATGTGTGGTGTATTGTGTATGTGTGTGCATGTAGTACATACACATGCTGTCATGTGTGTAAATTTCAGTGTGTATATGTGTGCTGTGTGTGTGCATGCAGTGTGTGCATGTATGCTCTGATGTGTGTGGTGTGCCATGTGTACATGTGTGCTATGGTTATGTGTTCATGCAGTATGTACGCATGTGCTGTGATATGTGTTGTATATTGAGTGTGTGGTATACAGTGTACACATATGTACTGTAGTTTGTATGAGTGGTGTATTTATGTCTGTGTGTGCTGTGGTGTGTGTGCATAGTGTACAGTGTGTACATGTGTGTTATAATGTATGTGGTATGTTGTGTGTGGTGTGCATTGTGTACATGTGTGCTGTGGTTATTTGTGCATGCACTATGTTGCATGCATTGTGTACATGTGTGCTGTGGTGTGTGTGTGTGCATGCAGTGTGTACATGTGTGCTGTGATGTTTGTGTGGCATATCGTGTGTGTGGTATACAATGTGCTATAGTTTGTGTGTGTGTGCACTGTGGTGTGTGTGCATGGTGTGCAGTGTGTACATGTGTGCTGTGGTACATATATATGTGGTGCATGTGTGCTGTGGTGTGACTGTGTGTGGGATGCACAGATGAACATGTGTCTGTGGACCCTGTCTATTCCTTCCAGAGGGCAAGGGCTCCATGTAAGGCTGCGTGCTCCCACCCACTTCTCGGTCCTCACACACTGACCTGTCCCTGCCTTTCCAGGACAGCTGTTCTCAGTGAAGGCCCGTGCTCCCGCTCCTGAGCAGCGACCATGGGCCTGCTCGCCTATCTGAAGACCCAGTTCGCGGTGCACCTGCTCATCGGGTTCGTCTTCGTGGTGAGCGGGCTGGCCATCAATCTCATCCAGCTGGGCACACTGGCGCTCTGGCCCGTCAGCAAGCAGCTCTACCGCCGCATCAACTGCCGCCTGGCCTACTCGCTCTGGAGCCGTGAGTGTCCGCTGACTGGGCCCTGCAGTGGTCTGCACAGAGAGCTGGATGTGCCTGTCTGGCTCCCTTGGGTGGGTGGTGCCTGGAGCAGGGTCAGGGCAGATAGCACTGCTCATAGCTCACCGAAGCTCCTGGCTGCCCAGAGACATGCAGAAGGAAGATGCCCACCGACTTCATGAGGGTAAATCATGGGAGCCTGCCCTCCAACCTCAGAACTACCATCTTGTGTGACTTAGTGTAGTGCTTTGGATATTTTCAAACAAATACGAGTAAAGAATGGTGACCCAGGGCACCTGCGCCCAGCTTCTAGGTGCATACCAGTCCTCTGTCCCTTAGACTGCAGCCATCCCAGCCCAGACACTCCTGAAGCAGACCCAGCCAGCTCTCGTGTCACTTGTTACTGTCTCGGTGTTGTCTCTAAAAGAAAAGGACTTCCCTCCCTCTTTGTTACATGCATGTGTGCAGATGTGAGCATCTGTCTGTCCTATGTGCTTGTGTGTATTCACATAGAAAACTAGTCTTTGTCTGCCAAATGGATGGAGACTTCAAAGCTTGAGAACAATGCCTACTGTGACCAAGATCTCTGTCACATTGGGCCTAAGTGTGAGTGTAAATAGGCACATCTTTGGAGGGCAATTTGATAGCAATAATCATATCAATAATTAAAACTATAATTATATCAATAACTAAAATGATTATAATTTTAACTCAATATTCCATAACGTACAATAATTTTTATTATAGAATCATTTTTATATTAATATAAGACTGATACTATCAGCAACCTAAGTATGCTTTTTTTTTTTTGAATTATTTTATTTAACTTTATTTATTTATTTTAATTTGACCAGAGAGGAA